ATATTTGTTACAATGTGGAAAGTAAAGCTCATCCCAAGGTAAAAGTCTGTTGTCTTTTAAGCTGGTAGGACTACCAAAATTATCGGGATTGCACTGGTATAACAGAGAAAAGAATGGCATCCTTTCTGGTAAATCAATCGGAAAGTAACACCAGCTAGATACGACACTACATTGACCATTTTTCCCTTGCTGAAACCTCCCAGGAAACCCCAAGTGTTTGCTGTAAACTAAACAGAATTTCAGTATCACACACTAGTCTTTATAAATGACTTCCACTTCCCACCAATTACTTCCTCTTTCATACCATTCATTTTTTGCATTTCCTCTAATTTTTGTTCTCTTAATCTTTATTAATGTAATGGGTTTTAGACAGAAACATTATTTGTGTTCATACTCATTGAAAATGTCTCTGCTGCCTTGTGAAACACAGCTGAAAGAAACCTTAATTTGGTAAGAATTATTGTTTTGCAAAACGAGTATTGTTACATTAGCTGAGCACTGTATTTAAATTGCTTTTTGTTACAATAGGTCTCACTTGGACTATTTGGATAGTTCGGTACTGTACATGGTAAGGTAGAATTGCACTAATAAAATCAAGCTGCAAGTACATTTCATCTGCCATTTGGTACTTTCAGTGCTTCATAACTAACTACGGTCAAAAATTACCCCTTCAAGCCCAAGGGATTAATTCTCCCTTAACTATAGTTGTGCATTACAGGAAAAACAGTCATCCCTTGGTTTCCTGGCCTTGGATGAGCGGTTTACTGCATTTTTAACCTACAATAATTGTGGATGAATTCCAGGTGTGTGCTTGCCCCTCATGGAGTGAATTTCATGCTGTCTGATTTCTTTTTATTTAACTCTGGGAACAGAAATGCCCTAAACCAGGTTTCTTCACTCCAGGTGCCTCTGCCCAGCATGACCTGGCCGTCAGGGAGGCACCTACGCTAGTTCCGCGCCCAGGGACCTGCTCCCACCAGGAGCCCAGGATGGATACTAAGACACAGCACCCATCCAGCGTACACCCTCCCAGCTTCCAGCACATAGCAGTTTAACAATATCCTCCTGATAATTTTTCTTATATTGGATCACCCACTTTTTAATCCCCTCCCCCTAAATTATTTTCCTTCTTCCTTACTCGTTGGCTAGTCTAGCCCTTACCCCTCGCCTTGGAGGGTATGTCAGTGGCAATGAAAGTGCTGACCTTGTTAGCCTCCTTGGCATATATTTGCGTTTTGGAAGAAGATAAATTGAGGAAGGCAGACGATTCCTGCCAGTGTCAAGGAGAGGCTCTCAAGACAGGCTCTTACCAAGTTACCTGGCTGCTACTAAAACAAACCAGTGAGAAAAGGTCATCTTGAATTCAACTTTTATACATAGGCAATCGCATTACCATATGTCAAAGACACCAACCTGCATTAAAAAGAGTCAATGCAGATGAGTACAAATATTTCAATGTCCAAACAAATTTCCCAAGCCCTCCCCCTAAACTATTTTAGGATGATATTGAATGGCAATGTTAAACATTCCAAGAATTTGAAAATAATTTGAATTTGTTTGCTTTCCTTTTTACTGTTTTTGACCAGTTTAGAACCCAATGAACAACTACCAAAACCTTCAAGAGTCTAAAATTACTTTAAATAAGTAAAAACATGGAAATGTTCACAGAAGTGTATCAAATAGTTTTTCAACCAGCTCTAATTCTTAGATTGTTATTAAAGAATATTCTAGATCCCAAATAGGAAACATGAACCGTTAATACCACCCTGCACTAAACAAGACATTTATGAGCTCTGGCATTCCTACTACAACTGATACTGAATAGGATTGTTTTAGGACACGAGTCTGTCTGCAGCACGGGAGAGCATCCCCTCAGAAGACTCAGCAGCAAAGTCCAGACCTGGTTCAAACAAGCACCAAACCAATTCTTACAGCCTTGTGATGGGCTTAGCATGTAAGGAAAAAGCTACACATATATTGCCACCTGAATTTTCTCCATCTAAACCATTACAAACGAAAGTGTTTTAAAAAGGGCACTCAGAAAAGAGGACCACACCCTGTCTATTCTCCAGGATGGTGACCACCTCGTAGAGCGGCCAGTTATTAATAAATGAATTAGGCTATATGAACTGAAGACCGTTCATCAGCTAAACGGGGACAGAAAGTCTGTTGAGAACATGTGTGCTGTTGCTTGGAGCGAGTCAGTCTTCGTGACACATAGGCATGACTGAAGGCCTTTGGGAGATGGGAGGAAAAGAAGGAAAGAAACAGAGATGACTGGCACAATGGCATACTGCCTATCTTGCCAGGGAAATCAGTCTGTCTTAAGGAGAGGAGGAAGGGAAAGAAGACATACAGATGGTCTGACTCCCAGTGGTGACAGGAGCAGTTGGTCTTCTCTCTTTCCGATAGTGACAGTCGCTGTCACCTTATTTTGAAGTCTCCTAACGAAAAAGTGGGAGTCAGTATGGTACTGAAAAGAGCAAATGGATAAATCAGGTAACTAATCATAACTATTTGGTCTAGGAAGAGCGATGGAGGTTGGTGGCGCCTGGTGACAGCCTGCAATAGCTGAATGTGCGCTTTCCCACCCTGAGAACTTCAGCCTAAGGAAGAAAGAAAGTTTGCACTGTTTATTAGAGAAAAAGGTCTTTTAGAGTCAAGCCAGCTACTGAGTGCATGTTTACAATGCTGCTTTCCTAGCGATGTATGACAGCTCGGGACCCATAGGCTGCCATCTCATTCAGTCCCATTTCACTGCAGCACCTTTTTAAATAGGCCAAAAGGACACCTTATGCACACACTCTGCTATCAAAATAGGAAGGTACCAAAAAACGTCCCCCCCGAGTAAGGTTATTTTCTCTATTAACTCTGTACTGCACCCAAAAGGCACCATTTTACCGAAGAAGCAGCCTGTGCTCCAACATGTCGAGAGAGAGATGGATGGTTCTCGGTTTGAGGAGGAATAGAGCATTTGCTCTTGGGAAACTTTGCTTTTTCTACACAGTACTACCATTGGCTCTTTTCTTCTCAGGGTGGTGGAAAAAACATTTATTTTTGCCAAAATGAAATTTTCAGAAGCACACAAAATGTTTTAGGACCCTGTGGGACATTTTTTTTCCAAAGTAAATCCTATTCAATGGTTTTCCCTTAAAAAAAAAAGAAAAAGAAAAAAACCCCACCAGATTTTTGAAGGATTTTTTTAGCCAGTCCACTAATTTCAAAGGAAGTCAGTTATCTAACAGCTTTCTACATAAAAGAAGTGAAATAACAACTTGAATTTAAAGCAGATCAAATATACTGAATCAACCCCTCGCCAATGGATACTGCCATTAATTTATTTCAATTTCATTTAGCTTAATTCTCTTTGGAACAGAAGCATACTCAATCAGATTAAGGCCATTTTAATTCACATTTGACCCCTGTAATATGACACCCTACACTTATTTGGATTAAATTCCCCTCTCATGTTTAGAAAAGTCCTAAGTAACCACAAACTTGGATCTAAATCTTGCATCTCTTTTGCACTAATGAAAATGGGACCTGGTTTGTAAGTTACTTAGATGCTATTGGATATTTTAACCACGATCTTGCTTTTATATTTTTTGGTGAAAATTTCAGCAAACATGGGCTGTGCCAGAAAGTCTTTGTCACCTGAACCTCACCTACAAATCCACCCACCCGCTGACTGCTTTGTTTGCTTGCTCGGCCTGGAGAAACGGAGGGTACATGTGCTCTGCACCGCCACACCCTGCCCTCCTGGAGCTCCTTCCTCCACAGCAGACCCTGGAGCTGCCCTGGCAGTTGCATGTCGGGCTGAGCAAAGACCGTTTCCTCTTTTTTTAAAGGAAGTATACCAAGACTGGGAAAACCACAAGGCAGGGTTAAAGTCACTGCATGGAGAAAGAGAACAAACTTTCATAACAAACTGAATCACACCACCACTGCACTTCCTGTCTGACATATGATCCCCATAGTGCAAAATGGGAACAACTAGAGTGTTTCCAGAGAGAAACTGAAAGATAGCAATAGACCCAAGGGAAGGCAGCCAGGATATTCTTCATCTTCCACGGTGATCTAGCTAGGCCGTAACTATCCCTGGTATCAGAGCAGAGAGAGTTAATGAGAGGTCCTCTCCCATCTTGGTGCATCCACCGTAAATCTGCAGCGCTCCTGGACAACTTCAGCTGTCTGAAGATTGCTTCATCCCCAGCAGTTTACAGGAAAGGAGAGTTTTCGACCCAAGACCTAAGGACAAGATGTCCTGGAGATTTTTTCACCTTTTCCCTCTCTCTCTTTTTCTAAGGAAGGATAATTAGAGCATTGATGGCAAACCCCCACAGCCCTCTTGGTCAGAAGTTATCAGGAGATTCAGTCAATAATTAATTGGGCCATATGATTAGTCTCTTTTCAGAGACTAGTCATCCAAACTAACCTGTAGTGCCACACTTTTTTTTTTTTTTAAATATAAAATAAATATAATGGTCAGCATTAGCTCGAGGGCAAAGCTGGTTCTCAGGAGATGTGCTGTTTATTCCCTCCTGATACACTGCTGTCAGCAAGAGGCATCTCTGCAAGTGTCAGGAGTTACATGCATGCACAGCTAGACCCTGTGTATGTCAGGGAGGGTTTGCATTTCTGCAAGACAGATAATGCTGTAGAGCTTTATCCTTCCTGCTGCTACTCCCTGTAATTCAGCACAGACTCGAGTACCTGCCTGCACAACCAGGAAAAGATTTCCCTATTTCTTTCCAAAGGCTGAGCCCAGGGTAAGCAGAGCATGTTACAGAGGAGAAACTATGCTCTCATGACCGAGCCTTTAGCTCGGTCATATTACATGCAAACACGGCAGGTCCCTTCTCTTCCATGGCATCCCCTCGGTGATGCCTTCCAAAGCGAACCCCCAAGCTCTTATGCAAAAGCAGAAACGATGCCCAGCAGTACGCACAACTCCAACAAGGCGCCACTGAGTTACCGTTAAACCATATTCCAAAGTTTACCTTAGTTCCTTGAAGGGGTCTGCCCTGACATTGGGAGTTTCTATAGATTTAGGGAACACTGTGCCTTCTGCTCCTGAAATCACAAAACAAAACAGAAGACAAATTGTAAACATTATAAGCTGTTATCGGGAGTGATTGTCAAATCATATCTAGGTGCAATTTAACCCGTCGCCTGACCCCATTTATCTCTTGCACACATCCCTTCTGTCCCCAGGAAAAGCCAGACCTTGATCATCTGAAACTGGTTGCCTTGATTACAACTGGGATTTGCCTGGAAACTGCACTTCTGGCTGTAAAAGCAGCTGCTTGCGCCCTGACTGTAGGAAGTGTTTGCCGACCCAACTGACGCAGGGAGCTTGGAAAAGATACCCCCTTGGTAACCAGGCATCTAATCCAGCTACATCCCTCACTAATGAACATGCATAATTTCATGCATGTCATGAAATCATTTATTTTGCTGGGCTCTGAGGGATACTCAAAGGAGAAAACCAAATTTTGGGTCAATCACTGCAAACGTCTCTCAGGTCAGGCTGTGCTCCTGCCTGGGGAAAAGGAGGGAGGTGTCCACCTGACGAAATGCAGTTCAAGCAGGCAGCAGGCTCTGCTCTAGTCCCAGCCCGGCCACTGGTTTGATGTGTGACCCAGAAGTCATTTAACTTCTGCTCATTTCCCCCTTCTCTTAGAGACGGTGGGGAAGGCAGCACTATCCTCATTTGTTGAGTGTTTTTAGATCATGAGCTGTAAACTGCTAGGCAACATGAACAGCTTTCCTAAGTTTCAGGCCACTGCAATCCTCTTATGTGACCACCTGCATAGCCCAGGTTGGGCTGTCTCACCCAGCCATCCCCGCATTGGGTCCGTATTTGTGACCGAGCCATGCTGTGTCTCTCTAGAAAGATGTGCTCTCCCAGTTTCATTATTTTAAGACAAAGACAGCCCATGCCATCCTCTGGTAAGCCTTTCCGCTAATTGTTCTGATTTAAAAATGTGCATCTAATCTGAATTGGTCTCACTTCAGCTTTCAGCCACTGAATCTTCTCGTGCCCTCGCATGCCAGCCAATCGGCCCTGCGTGAGCAGACCCTCCATCTTCTGTAGGTAGTTACCGATGGTGACCCAACCACCCCAACCGCCTCTTTTATTCTCTGAAAGGTTATGGCTTTCTGAATCATTCACTGTGAAGCAGATTTTCTGGACTTCTCATTGCTCTTTTCTGAACTCATTCCACTTTTAAAATACTCTGTTGGGGCACAGGAGTCCCCAAGTGCTGTCACTGATGCTCTGTGCTGCAGAATGTCACTTTCTCACTCCCCTTGAAACTTCCAATTGAAACACAGCTAAGAAGGGTATTACTGCCTTACACACAGCAGTGCACTAGAAATTAATGTTCATGTTCTCTAACATATAGCTACCTACCCGGTGAGCAAATATGACCTATATTCCTAAATCTAGACCTGTGGTCTTGTGTTCAGATGCATTGTGAACAATTAGTCATTCATTATCTGTATTCATCACAGCAATTTCAGTGTCAGCATGCAAACAGCACCAGTGGCATTTTTTTTTTCCATAAGTTTTTCTTTGATAAAGCTGTTAGTGCAAACTACAGATCCTGATGAGACCTTTTACATATACTGTTTGAGAACTCTCTTAACACGAGCTATCATAATTGTTACCTATGTGCAGTCTGGAAGTCACCACTATAGAATAAAAAAATGTTCTAAGATGATGCAAAACATGTTCATACAACATCCTTCTGTAACTTCTGCTATAAGTGAGAAACACCTGTGTTTTCAGAATGAAAATAAACACTCTTAACATTTATAAAAAAAACCCACTCCTTTTTAACCTAGAGAAAAACGAAGTAATCTCAAAGATGATAAAAGCAGTCTAAAGTTTGAAGCTTTACACTTGGGAATTGAAATTGATCCTATGACACAATACAGATATATAGCTCTTAACTTTACTATAAGCCTTCATCATTACAAGTTGTCAAAAGCAGCTGTAACTTGCCAGCCATGAAGGTTATTATTATCAGATCTGTCCTCTCTCAACAGTTTACAAATGATTTAAGTCTCTGCTTACCCACACAATTGCCTTGGCTATTAGCTTTGCAATGAAACTTAGCAAAAGTCGCAGCCTGCACATATCTACATAATAAAACCCTTTCCACCTGTATTGCTTAAATGGTGACTTTATGCTAGTAATTTTAATTCATTTTTACACACTCTGTCAGCTACTTAAGTTATGCAAAGCCCAAAATAATGATCTGCACGTAACCAGAAATGCTGCAGAATAAGGAGAAACTTTAGCATATTTAAAAAGACCTGGGGTTTTCCAGGATTTCATTATTTAATTTCAATGCAGGAAGCAACTTTGGAAACAAAGCCAGCGAAGACTCCAATGCAGTCAATTCAGAAAGGCTGAAAGTAAAAAAAGCCTGCTATTCCTTTCCTTCTTCTCCTTGTCTTCCTTT